AAAATATTTTGTGAGTTGTTCTCTGTTTTTAAATACAGCTTTTTTTCTGGATTGTCCATGAAACTTAACAATTGACCAATCAGAAACGTGTTATTCAACAGTCAGGAATTGGTAAAAGTGATTTCCAAATGTGTATTAAATAATACCCGTTAAGCCCCGCTTTTGGATATTGTTGCTAAGACTTTAGACAGCATGAACGTACGTCAACTTGACATGCGCATATTCTCGGCTATTAAATAACGCGCCCATTTTATTATTTGGACAGTTGTAAAGTTTGATTGCACTCCAGAGAGATCCATTGGGAGACCGACGCTGCGTCATTCGCTCCTACATCCATGTCGGCGCAACTTGTTTCACAGTTTTTTTAACATCCAATCCCAAGATTGCGTTTTAGCAGCACGGAATCTGGCTCATGAGTATTACTGTGGTTATCATATAAAGCTTCAATGCTTGTACATGTTTTACCTGACAATTAGTAATACAGTATTAGCCAACTAAATTGCCAAAAACCAGCCCTACTTAAAGTCGTCAAAATAGATGCTTTGCTTACTTAATTGTTTCATAATTGATGTGTAGCGTTTGAAAAAAAAAAAGATTCAATCTATGAAATGTCAAGGGGTTAAGGAGTCATTAATGGTCATGAATTTCTTTCTAATGAGAAAAGAAATTTAAAGCCCTTGCACTTTCGAACCTAGACCGAAACATACGCCGACTAAAAATTATGTTATTAACAATTAGCCTAATAATTTTGGATAGTTTAATATCATTTTTCATGCTTTATGGTTTATAATGTTATTTGTTTCGTCATTAGAGTAGGCCTAATACTAAAGCAACCTCCTCTTCTATCGAAAGGAGCAGGCATAATTCTAATCATGCTGAACACTCAGTATAGGCCTAGGTCAGTCCTCCCAGTTTAAAACTTTCGTCGTTTAAAAAATTCTGGTTTTTGTAACAAACTAACGCTATTGAATATTTTTTTTTGCACAAGCCTCTAAATTTCTTAACCAATTGGCATTGATGGATTTAAGAGGATCGCTAGCTGGCAAAATATTATATCAGGTGATAATAGGCTCAATCATTGATGTTCCACCCCAACGTATAGGCAGAGGCCTACAGCAACATATGTGATGTGTGCCAAGCCTGTTACTGCATGCAGAGCCTAAACTTCCCCGTGTTTTTGCATCTCTAGACGAGGAACCGTAGGTGTATCTGGCTCAAAATTAGGTTATTGGTGATTTTTAACTACTTTAGTGTATTCCCCACATATTTCCAATTGAATATATAATAAGCATATGATTTGACTTGTTGATTTTATCGATGTTAGTTTTACAATACCGAGTGAGGTGCAATAAACTAGCCGAAGCGTGTTTAATTAATTCTCTCCTTCAAAAATGAGCTATAAAACATTGGACAACATCCATTCTTAGAAAAACTAAATGCTTCAGGAAATGCCGCGAAACAGAACAAACAGAGAACTTATATAAACAACAAGAAATATGACCGCGGCATAACGTCCATGCCAAAGAGGACAATTGGTAGAAAAAGATCACGATAGATTGGTAATGGAAACACGTTTGGTGACATGAATACCCCGCCGGCGAGGCGATCCAAACAGGTTCAATCATGAAATTAAAGTCATGTCGTGAACAGTGTTAAACATCCGTAATATTATAAGAGCCGTAAGATTTTGTCCGATGAGGCTTACGTCACGTACAGAAACAACTAAAGATTTCACTTGTGTCATTGTGTCCTACCTATAAGACAACTCAGAAATGCTAACCGAATTTTGAGAGAATTTGTGAATGATGTTGATTTAATAAGAACAGTGGTCTTAAAATGTTAACCTAATTTATTAGTACATCAGCGTTATTCATTATTCATCGTAGGCTTACAGGACTATAGACATAATATAGGCTTATATATAGATATAGACACATATATACACCTCCAATGATGATAATTTAAGAGTAACTTATAACCGCTCTTAGAAAACAAAGGATTCACCCATTATCAAATATACAGAAGTAATAATGAATAAATATTCTGCCGTCATGCATGTAACTCATTAATTATGAAATAAGTGCGTCTCTCATTGTAATTAATATATTTATGAATGTGCTTATTAAACAGATTAGTACTTAATTGATGCACATAATTTATAACTGTCTACCGCCTCTTCTAGCCATCCATCTATTATTCCACCGGGTGGATAAAATGCAATGTAAGTTTTAAGTAGGTCTATAGGCTATATTCTATTGAATGGTCATATAACTGACTTTTAAACTAAAAGTTAAGCTATTTTCCTATATATATATAATATATATGCAACTCGTTCAACCGTTTTACTTGTATCGGCATAGCGTAGAGTGTGAAACAGAAAGCAGACGGTATTTATATATATGCCTACCAAAAAATTGTTTAGAGTTCATATCATGTATAAAAATGGCATGGTCGAAAAATCGTCCATCTTCGACAAAAACCCTGAGCTTTGCGTTTTTTGTTTTTGTTTTGTTTTTGTTTTGGGCTATTTTTCACCTAATCCTTTTTCGGCTGATTATTACAGTATCCAAAGAATCATGAAAATACCGATTATATTCGAATTAACCCTGTTTAACATCATTTTCATAGCATTTTTAAATGCTAAAATAAAATATTAAAATATTGTGAATTGTGCTAGAATTAAACCTATATGCTAGTCAAATAAATAAATTAGATATTATTTAAGCTTGAAAAGTTTTAAGTGCAGTAATTTGCAAATATGGATAGTCCTTTTGTGATCTGACACAAAAACAACCAGAAAATGGCATTGTCGAAAAAACGTCCAATTTTGTAAACCAGAGCCTTGCAGATTAAGTTATCATAAATGACATAATCAGAAAATATTATTGGGTCAAATCTGTGTGGTGGTTGAAAAATTCAGGGGAGTCTTTATGGCCCAAAATAGTGATTTTAGACCACATTGGTAATGAAATTTGATAGGCAAATTACAATAATATTTTTAGTAAATTTCTTTGAAAAATTTCATAGGCTTTGGACCTAGATAGGTACCTATACAGTATTTTCATTTTACAGTAGTTTGGAACGATGTCGGGAGTAAGGGAGCTGACAGTGGCCTACTAGACTACAATTTATTTGAAAATAGCTTGGACCCGATCGTCCACACCAGTTGGGCCCAATTGTCTGTCACCCGAAGTTTTCATCACGATGATCAAGAACGTATACGATCTAGGCCCTAGGCTAGGCCTAGCCTTGCTGCCGTCACTCTGCTACGTATACTACTGCATAACAAAGAAAGCGACCCACGCGGTGCATTCTTAAATTTTACACACATTATTTAAAATTAGACGATACCACCCTCGCATCGCAGTAACAACTGTACTAAACCAGACTAAATTAGTCCTAGCCTAGGCCTCATGTTTTTGTGGAAAGCCTAAGCTAGATAGTCGTTATGTATCCGACAGTCGGCTGCCTTTATATTTTCACTTTTCTTCAGTTTGCATTCAAAGGGTACACTGCTGCATGGCCAAATGTCGGGGATATAGTACCTTCATATGACTACTCATACAACAGAAAAAAAAAGCTAAAAATGGAGATCTAAATAAAAAAAAAACGAGTATTTCAGCAAGTATTAAAACCTTTTTTATTTAGGCCTTCAAAATACCTATGTCTACAGCAATTGATTTTTTTCCCCGCAAAACCAAAATACTGTAGTTTCATCCATGCCAACTTGCCGATTGGTTAGCGTGAGCCCTGCCCTGACTAAACACTGCAGAAACGAAACTCCACATCACGAGAGGTAAAACAAAATGTCGGAAAACTTTCTTTGACGCATGCGCATTTGCATAAATGTCTACACACACACGCACATACACACACACACACCACACACAGGAAAAACAGTGAAGAGTGATTACAATAGTTCCTATTGCATTACATGCATAGGACCTAAAAAGTATAAGTAAGCGTTTAATTTTTCTAATAGGACTATTTTTCGCTTAGTCGTTTTTTTTGGTGATTTTTCCACTCATAGGGTCCGTACCGTAGGTGCCACAGAAGACATTCTTATGATCTCTAGAGATCACAGAACAAAAAACCACTTGAAAATGGCAGGGACGAAAAATCGTCCTATTTCGACAAAATAGCCTTTTTGTTTTTTCCTAAATTGGGCTATTTTTCACCTAGTCGTTTTTTGATTGTTTATTACGTTATGGTAGGCCTACATAAGCATCATGAAAATGCTTATATTCAAATTAGCCTGGTTTATCTTTTTCATAGCATTCAATGCTGTGGACTATGCCAGCATTAGGCCTATATCTAATTAATAAGTTGGATATTATCTAATTTGCAAACTTGGATAGTGTTTTTATGATCCGAAATGGCACAGAACACAGACAATAGCACGGTCGAAAAATCGTCCAATTTCGAAAAAAAAACTACTACCAAAGACTATTAATTTTTTGCAGTTTTTTCATAATCTAATTTCTATGGTAATCGTTTAATTAACCACCTGAATACATAAAATGCTTAGCTCTGGCGATTCGTACCCCAAACCCCGACTGGGACTCTGCCCTTGGACCCCGCTGGGGGGTATTATTATGTCCTTTGTTCGAACACTGTATTTATCTTTATTTGATGATTTATATATAATTTAACAGTGTTAAAGGCTATCTAGATTTTTATTATATGCCATTTTATGTTTCTAGCCGTACCTATTGTGTAATAGAATTATCTGGCGGTTTTTGAATGTGTTCAACCATGAAGCATCTTGTCTAATGGTTGACGTTCTCCTTGACAGTGAGAGGTCGCAGGTTCGAATCCCGTCATAGGTATTTTATTACACAATTTTTTTATTCATTTATTTATAGGACTACATTCGTTGAGAGCTATGCTACATGATGTATTATTATGTCCTGTATTCCAACAATGTATTTACCTTTATTTGATGATGTAGTATACCTGTCTCTTATACACATCTAGATGTGTATAAGAGACAGTATATATATATATACGATGATAAAAGCTATGCTCGAAACATGTCTTGTGAATAACTCTCACTGGGTTTTGATTTATTTACTTGTGTACTTTTATCTGTACGACCTAAAGATAATACCCAGAAACGTTTGTGTACTCATTAAGTTACTTTTGAAATTCGCTTTACAGTAAAGGAAGTTGATGTTCTATTTATATATACGTATAGGCTTATGTATATACAGACGATAGGCATTTGAAAAGATCATTATATATATTACATATTGGTATATATACATATTATATAAATAAATGAAGAGACGATAAACTAGCATAAGCGTATATTGAACGCAATATACTGAGCATTCTGAAGTCTTTTTAAAATTTTATTTTACAAAGCACTACGTTTAATTTAATCACAATATAATTACATAATCGAACGTTCCACGTTCTGTATCCGCGTGCAAACTCTGCTCAATATGTTGGTGTCATTGAAAATGTAACATTGAACATCATTATGAAGTTGATGTGGGCGACCACTTGGCTAAAACCAAAGCTGTACATATTGCAAGTATACACCACTCCACTCCTTTATAGGCATGCATAAAACAATTTTAAGTATAACGCTATACATTCTCAAAGGGTATGTTTTACAAGAAAAATTCAATAGTCTAGTATATTAAAACGGTTTTATCTGACGCTCGTGGCGCGACATATCAATCCCACAATGTTAACGTTTTACGAATATATAAAATCATTTGTTGTGTCCATTTGTGTCTCAGGCTTGGCACAGTAGATTACACAAAGAGCGAACAGCTCCTTAAAATGACGACGGTATGGAAGGCCAGAGAAGGCATATATAATCGGATTTATACAATTTGAAAAGTATATCAGTGTGTGAGACACAAGTCTTGCCGAGTCCATAAAAGCCCACATCGACATCGGGCTGCGATAAGGAAAAAAGGCTATGTAGAAATTAAATATACAGTAAGGCGTCCAGCACACAATAAAAATGCAGACAACTGCAAATATGACACGACTTGCGCGTTTTTTCTTCCGATGAGTCTGCAATCGAATTCCAGAAAGAACCGCCGATGAATTTGAACTGTTTGATCTGACGCTCGTGGCGCGCCATATCAAGTCCACGATGTTGTAGTACAGCACAGGAATTATGACTAGTGGGTTGACATACACCATTATAAAGTAGTATATTATGTAATACCTCCATTTTTCATCATCTGTGCCCTGACGAATTTTAAGAATAAGCACTGGTACATGTAATACCACAGACACTATTGAAAAGAAAAAATATAATAAACTTCATATTAGAAAAGATTTTAAATAAATTAAAACTGTAAAAGGATAATTTTACTGTATAAAACAATCACTACCTTTTTCAATTTATTTGGTGTTTTATGTTAATAGGGAGTTGTCGCAATCTTACGAAAACGATAACGAATACGGTTACGTCATTAATATTTTAGATAATCTTTCCCCTAGAGTAGCATAGGCCTATATTTCACAGCGTAGGCGATATAGGCCTTTTGCATGAATCAAGGATCATTTTCAGCTCGTACAGTATACTGTCAAGAATGTTTAAGGCGCGAATCACGATAATGATAATGACGTATTCGTTCGTTATCGTTTTCGTAAGGTTGCAAAATCTCCCTAATATTAATAATAATAATAAAATAATAATAATAATAATAATAATAATAATAATAATAATAATAATAATAATAATAATAATAATAATAATAATAATAATAATAAAGGTGGATGATGATGTTGATGATGATGTTGATGATGATGGTGTCGATGATGATGACGATGTTACTGATGATTATGATAAAGATGATTATAGTGACGGCTATGCATTTTTATAGTTATCACAGTGGATGGTGACTATTAGGCCCTATGAATTATTATTATTTGCATGTTGTTGGTTTTTAATTCAATTATTCACCAATCCGAAATCTTTGAAATCATACTCATTGCGGATTACCGGAATGGTGATTACTTGGCGGTGTGGAAGACTATCACATCCGTCGCCAGCTTTCATCTTGATCACCACGCTGCTTATAAGCTAACGATTGTTTCTCTACACATCGATCACTGTATAATTCCCGAGCCTTTCTGATTTATCGGCACTCATACAAATGGCAACAGGGCTTATATAAACTCAGAATACAAGAGATTCTTAAAAAAAGTATTTATTTCTTAACATACATGGATGACATTCGAAGTCCCGCGGCCATGGCTCGGTGTATGTTAATTATAGTTAAGAAGTCAAAAACCTACGGTAACCTATAACTATCCTCAAAGAAGTTGTTTATACTTATTAGCATACACACAGTGGAGCTTTCTTGATGACATTTAGAATCCCTTGACAGGAGCTATGTGTATACATGTCAAAAACACACCAACTTTTGAATAAACTCACATATCCAAATGGATGCTAAGATCTTCGGAACACTAGACAGCTGAATCCGATAGGGAACTTGGTTTCCTTTTGCAAACATGTTCTTAGAAACGAAGTAACGGTGCACGGCCAATACGATGAAAGTTACACAACTAGCCTGGGCTGTTACCTGGTCAAAGGAAAAGATTTTAAATATATTTATTTATTCTCACCACAGGCCTCAATCCTAATGTGATTACAGAACTACGAAAGTAAGGCTTATAATTGTACAGTTAGTCTTAGGCCTACATTAATGATAACATAGAAACACATTGATATATATAGTGGGGTACTAACGATAACACAATATTGTTGTATAAAACCGTGCCATCCGTAACCACTACCACTATACCACTATATATGCTGTCTCTTATACACATCTAGATGTGTATAAGAGACAGCCTATATACGGTACTGTATATATATTAATCAACTTTAGCTATTATAAATATTGTTTAATGATAATAAGTGGATTAATTATGCGATTAAATAATTAATTAATTAACTAATCGTTATTAGATCGTGAAATTCAAAACGAATAATTATTTTAACAAATGGCTTACCATCTGCACGTAATTAATAATTACTAATGTCCATTGCTCCGGGATGATATCATGAAAGTATATGATCACTGAGGGAAGCGAGGCAAGGAAAGTACACGTTAAATCAGTGACAGCTAAGTTGGCTAACAGGTAGTTGGTCACATTTTTCATGTCGCGAAACCTCTTCACGATTATCAATACCAACGCGTTTCCGATGACAGCAAGCAAGAATATAAACAGCGCCACCATTAAGTATATGATTCTCGAAACTTTTTTAAATTTCATATATCTACAATACAATGGCATGCCTTCGATTTCAGTTGTTGTATTCATTATCACATATGTCTTCCCGTCACAATCATAACACAACCAGCCTTCCGTGTCACAGTCTAAATCCATGCTGTCATTGGTCGAAAGTGTCGTGTAGCCGACTGTAGTCATCTGAAATATAAAATGGAAGATATGGATATTGTTTTCGGCGCTTTACTCATTGTCAATTATTTTAGATACGAAATGTGTACTACAAATAGATAATCTTCGAACGCAAACGTTCTATATAGAAGATAAACGATTCATAATACCCAGTAAGCTTAATAAGAACACATATCCATTATCCGACCGAATGCGGCCTTGATTTTTAAGTACTACGATTTATATATGTATTATTTTCTAAAATAATGTAACCTCTATATACAGTATATACAAAATCATACATTTTGCGCATGCGTTAACTAAATGGTAATGGCTTGACTGTTTTAACTTTAGAAAAAATTAATTTATAATTACTAATTTGTATAACAAGACATCACGTCAACGCAATCGCAAAGTGGAATCGTACTGTAAAATACTAATATAAATGTGATGAGATTCGATCAGATAAGGATTTGTACGTAAGTTCAAAAAATATAGGGCGTATTTTATACGATAATCCACGTATGCTCTTCCCATCAAATGCACTATGCTCTAGGCTGTTGGTTTTTATCAAGTCAAGATTCTGATCATGATTGGATTCTTTATATTGTATGGATTCATTGATGTTGCAACGAGTATCTAACGAGCTGCTATAATAACACACAAGCAGCAAACGCGTATAGATCAAAACGTAGCTACGGACAATGGCAGGTAATCGTGGGAAGCAGAGGTCTTTAATTATTTAAAAAACAAACAGTAAAACATGTGTTTTCACGCCGCCGCCCGCCCTCATCAAATTTTTAAGCCTCATGAAAAATTCACTATTTGCTATTTTTCAAAGAAACCATCAAATCTCAATGAAAAATAAAAATAATTATGATCTGAAAGATTGTTGTTAAAACCTAAGAAGAAGTGGAAACATAATGGCAGGATATACTACAAAAAGTCAAAGATTAATTTTACTCTCATTTTTACTCATTTTACTATAAAAAAAAAACAACCCCAAATTATAATTATTTACCAACCTGTTTACCACTATACCACTATATATGATAGTAAATAGCAAAGAGAAAATACCTTCACCAAAAATAATTTCAAATTTCGAAAGTGAAACTAACAATTAATTTTATTTGGCCTTAAGTATTAGGTTTATGTGAAACAAAAAAAAAAAAACAAATAAAAAATACGCTCATAAAATCTAAAAATTCGTTATCATCATCATAGTTATAATTTTCACTATTGTCATCATTATCATCGTCGCCATTATCATTATTATAATCATCATCATCGTCGTCGTCATCCTCATCATTATTTGTTACCAGAATAACTATCATCACCATCATCTTTCATCTATCATCCACTTTCTCACTGCTGCAGGCTCGGCCTCTTCAAACCGTCACAGTTTTCCTCTGGGGTTGTGTTGAATAGGAACGTTATATTTCATTTTTCTTCTATCACATAAAATGAGCTATTTCAGTACACATAAATTCTTATTCGCTTTTATTTGCGATTACATTGTTCAATCTATTACACTGCGTCTTTCCTCAATTCAGCCGTATAGGCTAATACGTCAATGGCCTGTTTAGTCGCGTCGAAGTACTGGTAATGGCGGTAGTCATGATTGTCCGCGTGTCACGCGTTGTTATTGGGGAATATTCATTATGCCAATCTAAGGATATAGTTTCCCGTGTTTTCTATTTATGGGAGACTATCTCTTGGTTATTATGGAGAGAATTCAACAACATAATCAGGTGTTAAAAATATACACAGTAATAGTCAGTTTTATTATTCGAAATCGCCACGAAGTCCAGATGCTCTAGTGAGTATCAATTAGACGACAGGAGCTCAAATCTCGGATGTGGTGACTATTTTTACTTTCCCATTTCCTCATTTTAAACTGTTTACAATTTATTTTCGCATACCGTTTTTTTTCCTGATGGATTTCAATGCACTGAGTCTAAATTCTATGTAAAGCTTGGATTCCATAGAATCGCTACACTGTCACTACTGTGTATTTAGTGCAATCGTTGAACTGCGCAGCTGTTCCCCACACAATCGGGAAGGCTCCCCGATTCGACCGACCAATCAGCATCACCGAAAGCTGTCGGCGATAGCGTGTGACGATTGTATGGAAAATCCTGGTTTCCATAAAAATCGTTCTACAATACGACGCTCTCATTGTTCAGTTGAATAAGGGAGTGTTTCCGATTGCGTCGGGACAGGTACGCAGTACAAGGATTGCAGTGAAAACGCTGTAACGACTGTGTAGCGGTTCTGTGGAAACAAGGCTTTAACCAAGCTTAACGCGACCGATGACGCATCGGACGACGGATCATTTCCAACGACGATCCGCACAGACAACCACTCATTTTCAACAGGGTGGCGTTGCGTCGGACAAAAGCTCAAACATAGTGGGGAGACATTTGTCGGCCGACCAGCGATATGTAGGAATGATCTTTTGCCAAGCCTGACGTGTTATCTCGTTGTACGTTCCCAAAGACTTGAGAAAAATATCTCGAAATTGATTCGGGTCGGAATCGAACCAAAGACTCAAGCAACTAGTCTGATATCATAACAACTAAGACCATTGGGCTTGTTCTTAGTGGCTAGTGTCGAGTCCAATCCTTAATTTGTACTGAATTTTTTAAATAGGTGTTTCAGTCAAGAAACACAAGAAATGATGTATTGCTCAAATGGTGGTCGTGGGTTTGATTCCTATCAGGTTCCCGGACGCACATATCGAGACAGCTGATGATAAGTCTTATACCGGTATTTATAACAGTATTATTGATAAAATGAGGATGTTGAACTTCTTGTAATTCTACTTGTGTATACGTTTCTGTTATATAATACAGTGAGTCAACACCTAATTGTTTATCATAATTTATTCCCCGTTCTTATCTTATGTCAACGTTGCCGCAAGTTAAGTGATTCCCGACTTGCTTTTGCCTCAGCCCATCTTCTTTATTTTAAAAAATGTATGTTTTTGCAATGCACGGGTAACGTGATAGGACAAATTTTATAGTGAAACATATTGCTGATTATAATCAATCGACGTTCGTCTTAATTTAATAGTATCTCTTGACATTGTTATTAGAAGCCATAAAAACTATTAACCAATCAGATCGCTTCTGGCAATATAGTGGTAAGACATGATACTGAACACAAACACGTCATCACGGACGGTACTAACACATTATTACGTCATATATTGTATGCGAATCACGAGTACAATAGTTGTAAAATGTGCTCAAATTTCATTCTCTACGGGTTAGCAATTATATTTATTTATCGGCATGACGTCATCGCGACCCTACTTTTCGATATCAATCAACAGAGGCAATAATACACATGATTCAAATGAACTAGTGTTCCAGCCAGTGTTTTATATTAATGTACACAACCAAATGTGCTACTCAATATAAACGAAACCGTAACGTGTGCTTTGATTCAAAGAACATTTCCAGCGTGTCAATCAAACTGTACAACTGACCAATCAGAACATGGCCACAAGTTTACGCAGTATTTTCGTTGGATCGTGCTTGGACCTAGCAACAATACTGAAGAGGCGGGGCTTAACAGAAAGGTCCATTAAAATTACTAGTCCCCTTCCTATAAATACAATAGGAGCTTTCGATTCACGACGGATAGACAGAAAAGGACGGTAAATGGAACAAAATATTAATCTGCGCATGCGTATAAGTTCAGCGGCCGCCCCCCCACCCCCACCCTACTCATACCGTCTCGTTCAATTACAGAACTAAACGGTGTTTTCTCGATTTAACGTTCGGTCTAAATTTATGCCGGGAAGCGAAGCACGGGGAACTTTAGGGCGTTTGTGTACAAGCTACCGTCTCGTGCGTAGGAACAGTGATCGAAACAAGTTTTCACGAGGACAGGAAGCGTCCGTTTGACGGTCAGTTAACTCTCCGTACCCATTGTCTACCGTCGTGAATCGACAGCTCCCATCAGAGCCAAACCACACGCTTACGCTGTGGTTTTGTTGAATATAGCAACAATATTTAAAGGGCGGGGCTTAGTGGATAGATGGTGATTCGTGAGGGGTGGAGGGAATGTACTCCCAGGCTCCATACTATATATTTGCTGAGCAAAAAACTTACAATTTAATAGGAATATTAGATTGATTAAATGTTGCCTGACTAATGAATCATCATAGAAAAAATACTGAGAGTTATGTTATATTTTGAGATTGATCTACAAAATACGGTTGAACTGCATCTTAAGATTTTAATATGTGGTTATCTTGTGTACATAAATTCATAATGTAATATTTAATCGCATTTCATTAAAAGAAATTTAACCACGAGCAATACTATTTTAACGATCAACGTCGTTCGAGATTAAAAAATATACGATAGCTTACTTACGGCTCTAAAATTGTCCAGACACAATGTTATTCGCTGAAATTAAATTTGCCAGAAGCGAAGGTACCACGACAAAAAGGATAATGGAATATTTAATGGGTCCCATATCAGAAGAATAATAATTTTTTCAAATGGTACAGACTTGAATTAATCTTTGCAATCATGCTTAATGCATGCCTTTTGAGGAAGTAGTCTTTATTCCCATGGAGAGCCAAATCTAATTCACAACATTTTGTAAGTAGTGGATCTAGGGAGGGCCGGGGACTAAAATGACGCTCTCCTACTTCCCGGCAGCAGCCAAACAATCACTATTCAAGTGTGCAGTCATTTATATAAGATAATAAAATGGCTAAAGCGCTGATGTTTCCAGGAGGAATAACCCTCTGAACCACCACAATAGGTAAGGGAACATCCAAAAACCTTCCTCTCTCGACTATAAGTTCTGCTTCGAACTAGGCCACCGATTGCCACTCGCGCCACCACCAGCAAAAAATCCTGGTATATGTTAAACCTAAAAATTCAACCTCAGAAAAACTCTATAAAGCCAGTACATTCAGCCTACCCCCCCCTAACCCCACATGTCATCTGTCCCCCATGTTTGGTAAGTTCTACGCTGTCTTCATTTTAAGTACAAAAAACAAGTTTTATTAGTAATATTATAAGTACACTCTGTTGAATCTAAATCACATCAACTAGAAATAACCTCCCTCAAGCTGGTTTTCCACTTGGCGAATTTATTCGCACGAATCAAAGCGTCGGTTCGCTTCCTGAGTTCTGATTGGTTGCGCATTTTTTCGCTAGCAAAAAACTCCGATAGAAATGTGAATGCGCATGCGCATGAGCCGCCGCTTTCCACTCACGCGAATAAATTCGCCTAGTGGAAAATAGGCTTCAGGAGAGCTTTGCAATAAAACTTATGACAGACAACCCGCTACTCTTCTCATCAACATGGGAAATGCATAATATATCTTTATCTTTTGATATTTTTTGAATTGTTTTCTTGTCATTATTCAAATTTTGGAATCATAAATTTTGGCTAAACCCATGGAGACCCATGACGGCCATAGTGTGGCGCCAGTATCAGTCATTTGAGGGGTACATTGTCCCTTATCATTCCTATTCATGCGAGAGTTATTCGAGGAGCCGATCAATTTAACACCAATTAAAATCCATCGCAGTCGAATTTAAACCTCGGCTTCAGTGCAAGAAGCTATATGCATGAGCATTAGTATAGTTCTTGGCCAAACGCTGAGTCATGTATATTGTACACTATCGCTCAGCAATATACAATATATACACTTTTTTTTATAAGAACACATTATAAGAACACTGAGGCTGAAATTACTTAAAAATTAAGGACAAAATAAGAACAAATTGAGGCTGAGGTAAAATGATAAATGAGGTTTTTTTTAATGGATTTTTTAAATAGAATAACCAACAAATCGGATCTATACCATTTATAGTTATACCCTCTTTTATACGTACTGTAATAGCTGCTGTACAATATTAGTTTTCAATGTTTGCAAGATGTGTAAAAATAATAACATTTTGTGCCAGAAATCGGCAAAATAGAAAACACTGAGTCTGGGCAAAATTTGACTGGTTCTCCATATTATAATAAGCCTACTGTTTATATATAACATTATAGGCCTACTAATATTGGCCAAGGCCTAATGATTCGAAAAAGCTATAACAAATATGTAGGCCTATGTATATAGCACTTTATTATAATAATTGAACATATCATTTACTAAACGGATTTTCTCTATAAAAAAGTTCATTTTATTGATTTGTTGAATTTGAGGAAAAATGACGATAGTCGAATCGTTAAACTTGAGTTTACAAAGCTCGTCTTGATGTCCTTGTATTGAGCATGGTAAATTACAAGCTTCTCATGTTCCATCCCCGATGTCGTTATTCATTATTACTTGAACCCCCATGAACCGAGTAATTGAACACTTGATATATTAAGTTAATCATCTGAAACAAACAACAGAGTGCTAACTAATCATGAACGTATTCGTCTAATTATCATAAACAAAAATCAATCCCATTACAAAAGTTTTGGTCCTCTGGGAGGATGTAAAAAGGTTCGAGGAAAGTTCAAGCAAACGATAATATATATGGCATGTGTTAAGGTAAAGCATCTGAACAATACAATTCAATATTGCAATTGCTTAACTTGTATATCAGTAATTATAGTTAAAAGCTTCAGCCACTGCACAAGAACACACTACGCCCACGGCCGTCGACTGATGCCATTCCAGGGAAAACACAATGCGTCGATTCTTTACTATTACTGTTCTTATTTCTTCACTACGTCTTCGATGGCTTTGCCATGTACGACATATGAACTTCTACCAAACGACATCTTGTATGGAGAGATAGCCACGGTACCAGATCAATTGGACGACCAGAACTCCGATTCAAAGATGCATGTAAACGATACATGACAAAATGTAACATTAAATCTGAGTTGGAGCCATTATCCTCAAACCGGAGCACATGACGACTAGAAATACAAAAAGGTGTTACGGATGCAGAAAAGAAAATTTACCCAGAAACTGCGAGAAAACAGCAACTCAGAAACTAGACTACCATCGACTCACCTGTGTCAACACTGCATCGAATACTACCACTTTAGAATTGGGCTTCTTATTAGAGAGGAGCTTAGCTCAGTCGGCTAATCTGGTGGTAGCAACTGTGTGTGTGCTGAACCGTGGAGATCTCTAGGTCCCTGGTTCAATTCCCATCGCTACCTCTTCTTGTATTTCAGCTGGAGAGCTGAAATACAAGTTACAAGTTACAATAGCGCACCGTCTTTCGGATGAGACGTTTAAGCCGTTGGTCCCGTGGAAAGAGTAGGGGGATTGTATTTCGCTGTACTGCCCAATCACCACCAGAAGGACCCCACTGGAAATAAGTCTTCTTCTAAACTTTCGTGGGCTATCCTTGGTGTTTACACCGAATAAATCCAATCCAATTTAGCCATCTCAGAAAATATTGAGTGCTTTAAACCCTTAGGGGTTAGAATTCAATCCTCAGTTAGCAAATATAAACTAATTACAACAGATATTTACGTCGAAAAAAAAAACAAGCATAGGAATAGTTGTCTCATACACCACTGATACTCGAATGTTCAACCCGAAATGCAATCGCAATTGATTCGCACTGGATTAAACCCACACCAGAGTTAGGTCTACTAACCTGTTATCATACTCACACCTAAGCCACCAAACATTCTCTGATGATACAGTGTGATTTCACCGTTCCCTGGTATGATCAAATTAGCCAAACATATCCAAATCACTCGGTGTCTCATCGTCGGTTTCCATTAATTTACAAGGAAATCACACTGACGTTAATAATCCAGAATATCGGTTATCATGGACGTCGGGTCGGCCGCAGTGAGGCGAGATACATTTCTTAGTCCCAAGTCAATTACGCCATTATATATGTTTTATAATACAGGTTGATGCACCTGTGTAAACGATAACGAGTCGCCGATGAGATATACGAATATATACATAAATAATCGACTTCATTTTAAGCAATTAAAACAACATCCGCTTCACGCGGACATCAATTAAGTCTTGTATATAAAAGAGACGTTGCATTAGCAAAGTAAAAAAACGTAAGTCGGAATTTAAATACATAATCCGCGATTGATCAGACAAGCACGTTATTACGATCGTTTCGTTCCGCTTTTCTTAAATTCCAGGTAACGAGTAGGGTATGAATTTGGAAGCTGTGTTAATCCGCAGATGACTAGACTCTGTGTACTCATACGGATTGTTGTCGATGTTTGTTTACTAATAACTGTCTTAGTATGCGCTACGGCATGAATAACATATTTTCTTTCAATACAACCTGTTTACTACTAGATACGGTACTTAATAAAGGACATGCCCCAGTAGGCCGTACTAATCATGTTAATGATACCTGATCTAGATTAAGTATGATATGTTATGCATATTTTGATAACAAAATGCCAATGAATCATAATTAACGGATTGATTCCCATGACAATATTTACACTAACCAGCCGAATTAAGTATCTTCGGTACCAATGTGTTAGACGCATAATTTCAATGATGATGAAACATAATAAGGGAATAAATTGACTATACCATGGTGAAAATACAGTTCAAACAATTGAATAATTAGGTATAATGATAACAATGGTAAAGGCATAAAATCAACAATATTACCGGTAAGTATTAATAATAGTTATATATAACTATTTATATATACTATAGGATAAAATAATAATAGATCTAATAATATTAACAATGGTAATAATACTGTAATCATCACTGTTGATAACATCGACGAAAGCTCGCAGTATTAGTTTACATGAAATTGTGCTTCTATACAAGACTGTAATCATTATAATTGTCGATTCATCAGTCGAAGTTTGGCCGACGCAGTGTGACGGTTGTAACGATTAATCACTGATCAACCAACTGACCGACCGACCGGTCGATCAACCAACCAACCAACCAACCAACCAACCAAAAACCAAATCACAGCCAACAAACAAAATAACCAACCAACCACCCAATTACCAACCCAAAAACGAACAACCAACCAATCAACAGTACTCCAACCAACACACCAAATAACCAACCAATTTAAAACTACCAACAAACCACCTGACCAATCAGTCAGTCAGTCAATCAATCAATTAGTCAGTCTGTCAGTCAATCAGTCGGTTATGATCAATCAGTCAGTCAGTCAGTCAGTAATGAGTCAATCAGTCAGTTAATCAATCAATAATACATTTATCAATAATCAATCAAATCAATTAATTAATCAAGATAAGATAATTTGTATTGGTCCAAAATTGCTTTGGAAATTCGCTTTCCATTGGCACAAGATAATCGATAAGTTAAATTTTGTTGCGGTTTCAGGTTACGAAATGTCGACACCCCCTTATTGAAGTCACTGTAAAGGAACGCGTACGTCTCGTCCCTATTCCCTTCTGATACGCCATCTAAAAAACGTCTTACCAAATTGAGTACCTCCTACACAATAATAAATATCGGTTAAGTATGAGCTGACAAATTTCGCTGCATCTTGCGCTCATCCTAATATCGTGCTCTTTTAATTAGCAAAAGTTGCCGACTTACAAAGGTATCACTCACAGGAAAAAATTTGAATAGATATACTTCAGTCGGATAACACAGATTAATTAACACTTGTATAAAGAACTTTATGATTTGCAATTCACGTCAATTTCCACAAGATAATCGCCGACACATATTGAGCGCAAATTATCAAGTCACGTGAGACAGATAAGGTTACAGTATTTGAATATTGTTTTCAATTGTGGGAATCATTAAAGGAATTGAATACAAAACATCTTATAATTAACAATTTTAAGGTTAAGTGAGCTGCAGAACTTTATGGTGTGCAGGACTTTGAAGAGTCTTTGATTGGTAGAAGGGGTTATGATGATCACTAAAGCCTCATTCACACCAAATCCTAATTTTGGGATCGGAAGAAAGCCTGCCAAACCGATCAGAAAATCGAATCAGTGTGTAAGAATAGGGACGCTGGCGTTCAGCGCAGCGGAAACGCGTTCCAAATTTCGGTTCGGATCCGATGTGAATGCAGCTTTAGGAATTAAAAGGTCAAAGGTTAATATCCTGAAAATGCCCTAGATGATGTTAGTCTAGGCCAAAAAAAAAAAAAAAAAAAAAAAAAAAGAACAAAACAAAAAAAAAACCAAAAAAAAATCTTTTTCCTAAACCTAAACATTTAACTAACTTCAAACGACGACTACTTCGCCGCACGCTGTGTAAGCGTTTTCTCTCGACAGGACGTGACGAATCGTGTCTTGATGAAACCACGATGAAACGTTCCCCGTAACGCCTTGTCGCGTGGGGTTGTAATAAAATCGCGTGGGCATTGCGCCAATTAAGTTTGTCAGACCATCAAACGTATTATTCTGAATACGAATAATAATAGATGATTATCGGTACTAATAATGCACCGTATGTTTTGGTAAGCTCAAAAAATATATTAACAGAAATGATATAATATTAAGCAATCTCTTGTGACAACCCTTTGAATATTAACCTCCGCCAACAGGTGCGAAACAATTATTTATATTTTATATCTATTAATAAAATATAGTATTGGCAAATCTATGCAACACAAATATACCGTGGATAATAATATTTCACGAGCCGTAACGCGTTTGATATACGTATTTACCCTTGACTAAATTAAAGCAGGTCAACGCAACAAAATAATGTAGCGACAATTTTGAGAAGGTTATGAGAATTAAAGACGGAATTTGTCAAATGTCAGATTAAATGATAATGCCTTTACGAGAAAAAAAAATAACAATGCAATTCGTTTCATATGCTCAATCTGATCTTGAAATTTCGCGAAATTCCTATTTCACATACATTTTATAAGCTAATAATGCTAGTGGTTGTGCCGGGATTTGTCCGACGGGGTGGTGAGATGGAGAATGTTCCGACGGGAGGGTGCCCAAAACAACCCCGACAATAATAATTTAGGTATAGTATTTGAAAAGCTAAAATTATTAAGCCGATTTAAAGTCTTATAATTTGTAAAAATTACACATTAATTCTTTTCTACCTGACAATTTATTTTGAGCTCCCCGACGGGGACGGGGAATTCACTGACGAATCGACGGAATGACGATTGCTCAGTCTGCCACTATCAGTAGACAATGTCGCGTCAAGTTCTCGCGTCACCATCCCCATGTTTTTACCAAGAGGTATTCACTCCCAAATACTGTATTGGGAAACCTTATTTATTTGTGATATTGTCTTTACTAATTTGTATTCAACAGACCCTCTGGGACCATGTATCCGCCACGCTTTTTCTCTCTCTATTTATAAACGCTAATGTAACTTTTAGTTTAGCGTGTGTTATTCCTTTCCAACCTTAATTGTTGTTTCCTGCATTGAAAAGGAATGCTAATTTTTATTTTTTATAAATATACATGGTTATATTCATATATTCATTACCAATGATAATATAAATCGTTATAATTAAGTTATAGGTTGAGGCGTTGAGTCATAGAGTATTATATTATATTAAAAATGGCTCCATGTTCGAGGGTATGTTATCGACTGCTCCATTCCATCTAGAAAACATATCTCTTCGATCATTATCTTCATACTTGAAGTTATTTTCTTTCCCCAGCTGCTTTGAGTGCCATAAGCGATCTAATGACCTATAGGTAATACTAATATGAAGCGCAGAGAGAAGACTTTTTCATAATCAGCTAAGTCCTTTATATTTATTTATTATATATTTATAGGACAAAATTGACTCCTAAGTACTGAAGATCAGTAGAGAACTTCGTTCGAGTTTATACTAAGACCGAGTCGTCAATTGGGCGATGGTTTGTAAATCCGTCTGCTTTACCATAATCTCAAAATATAAATTACTGTTATGAATGTTTATTGAGAGGTAATGATGATTTCATTAATGCTTTGTCTCGATATAATATTTTGTTATTGTCTGCTTAACTCTCTAAATGTTTAAATAGGATGCGTTTCTGTAAACCGTGCTTGATTTATTATAGCGATACATTACACTATCGATGACAGATTATGGCTAGAATATAAATATTACTATATCACACCTCTATGTTGTGCTGTATTGTTTCTAGACACTGTAATGCACACTGCTGTTTTGCATTCACAATTATATGATTATCCCTACTATCTCTAATATCTGTAGCAGGTTTATCGATTTACCAATGTCTGTTTTTATACTTCCCTTAGCCCTTGTTAAGGCATGTTATATCAGATATATATAATGTTATGATAGAAATCATCTCTAATTCGTCTTGCAGTAATGCTGAAAATATATAGGCCTATAGATAATTGTTAAACATTAAAGAAGTGGAATCTGCGAGTAAAAAAAATATATATGCATTGTTAAACTTTAAAGAAGTGGAACCTGCGAGTGAAAAAAATATATATGTATTGTAATATAAAAATAATGATAAAAAATAAATTTATTATATTGTAGGCCATACCATATATTTTGTTTTTCAAATGTAGTCAGTATGTTCGTGTAGTTTCAGCTGTCACTTTAACCATATTAATATAAGCCTATATTTTATTGTCGCCTATATAAAAATTAGATACATAAATTGACAATTTACATCACTGGGCTAATTTTCATTTTTTTTCCTGTTTAATTTGGAGGATATAACTTGTAAAATAAAAATTACAACATTGCTTACGCCTATATCTTGGCAAAAATAATGATAAAGAATAAATCATTATCATATTGTAGGCCATATCGTATATTTGTTTTTCAAATGAAGTCAGTATGTTCGTGTAGTTTCAGCTGTCATTTTAACCATATTAATATACGCCTTATATTTTATTGTTGCCTATATAAAAATTAGATACATAAATTGACAATTTACCGTATCACTGGGCAAATTTTCATTTTATTTTCTATTTTAATTTGGAGGATATAATTTTTAAACTTAAAAATACAACATTGCTTATATCTTGGCAATATAACTGAGGCAAAATACAGGTATTAAGAATACTTGTTTACCTAAAAAATATCCTATTTCATATGCATACATTCTTAACATGTTATAATTTCTTATGTGTCTGTCACACGATTTCCTGCGTGCATCATGCATAACAAATTCAAATCTATCCATTTTTCAGAAGCAACGAGATAGGCTAGTCGTAATTATAGTGATATGATCTGCCTTTTCAATGTTGGTTCATATTAGGCTCATTTGCGTGTGCGCCAGGAGCATGGTTCACAAATATAATAACATTTTTTTTATTAATTCGACGCTTTATAGACTCATTTTTGACGAAAAACGTAACGGATTCTTACCCAACGATTTTAAAAAAGTAATGTACCTTCAAGTAAAACTCCTTTCACATCGGAGCCAAACCGAAATTCGGAGCGCGTTTCCAAAGCAATGAACGCCAGCGTCCCTATTTTTACGCACTGATTCGATTTTCTGAGCGCTTCGTAGGTTTTCCGATACGAAAATTCGGATTTGATGTGAATGCACCTTTAAGTTCACACTATCGAATTTTCTTTGACAAAAAACTGCTGTATTCCCATGTATAGTCATTATGTGCCTATATATGGACATGATGTGATGTCATCATAGCCATATTTACGCATAGGCCTATCACATGTTTTTATCAAATAAAAGTTTATAAAAACAGGGCATTAGACGCGTAACGAACGTAACGTAAATTAATGCAAATGAATGCTGGTTGACGCGATCTGAGGTACGCTTGACAGAACTTAACGTGTTCGGAAGAGGAATGCACAGCTGCGTTTTGGTCTTGCGTCTAAATCGTGATTTTAAACCAAGCTTAAACATTGGATGTAAACGCGATGTAAACGCGATCAGGTACTTTTAACAATCGATATGTGTTCACAGCTTAACTATATTGTCAAATAATAGGCTGTATGTATTAAAATAATTTTTATTACAACTCAATTCGGGCAAAATAAAACATGAGAAGAGACACATTTATCGAACCATTACATTTTTTTTATAAGAAAACATTTTATAAGAACACTAAGGCTGAAATTACTTAAAAGATTAAGAACAAAATAAGAACAAATTGAGGCTGATGGAAAATGAGGTTTTTATTTTTAAATATATAAAGTCAACAAATCTTTCTGGCCGGTACCTCATTTGCCAGTGTGACTATGTACTGTACAATAATAATTTTCTTTGTTAAAAAAAGTGAGGAAAATGAGAACAAAATAAGAACATTTTAAACCTGAAATCGGCAAAAAAAAAAGAAAAAAAAAAAAAAGAAAAAAAAAGAAAAAAAAAAAGAACACTAAGCCTTGCCAAAATCTTACTGGTTCTCATATTTTAAAAAAGCAAGTGTATATGCCCGAGGCGCGGGATGCGCATCAGAACTAAGACAATTCTCTGTCTATGCTGGTCCTAAAGCTTTCAATGCTATTTCATCTGAAGTAAATCTAAACCTAACACCTTAAGATTTAAATACAATACAAAGGAGTCTGGTATTGATGTACGCAACTTAAATTGCTTTCCGTGTCAAGTAGGCCTATGTAATTACATTTTATAATTTGATTAACCATACTCTGGGGGGAGGGGATCATAAAGTAAAAATAAAAGTTAAATGAACTTAATTTGACCTC